CGCTTCTAGTAACAAGTGCCTTACTAGTAGTAGCAAGAAGCTATTAGGAACAAGAAAGCTACTAGGGGCTCCTGGCATCGCTCCTTCACAACGGTCACGCGATGTGAGCCGTGCGATTCGATGGTGATGGAGGGTGGAGGCCCCAAGAACTCCCGCGATCGACGGTTCGGCACTTGCGAGTTCCGAGGTTCTCGGTTCGCGTGGCACGGAATCCACCTGTTCCCGAAGACAACCTAGATCTAAAGAAGAAGAATAGCTTTCTTGTTTCTATTGGCTTCTTGTTACTACTAGTAAGGCACTTGTTACTAGTAGCGATGCACTTGTTCCTAGTAGCTTCTTGTTACTAATTAAATTCACTAGGCCCGAGGCCATTGCTCTTAGGGAGGCCATCGCTATTAGGTTCCCATGCTCTCTACTTCTAGCATAAGAACTCCTTATGTTGCACACGGCTTGGCGATGTTCTGATGTTTGGTCGTTCGTGTCTGGTGATCGACAAGGGGTGCAGGGAAATTCAAAAGGAATGCATCGAAGCGAAACGAAACAAGCCAATTGAAATCAAACACAGCAATCATGAAGGAGGTGTTAATACGGGATTGACTCTAATGAACCGTAGAGCCGTAGAAAGGAAAAACAAAAAGTAGCTCTTGCCATACTGTGAGTAGCAAAAGAGCAATATTCAATGGTAATGTTAGGCAGTTAGGCGACAATCGGCTTGGGTTCGAGGTCGTGCGTCGTTGGTCTATGTATCCCAACCTCAAAAACGTACAAACAGAGACTGACATTTGGGGGGCTCAGTAGAAGTGTTGTGCCAGGGTTTGATGTCTCCACCTGCTTATGCTTCAACACAAAAAGGGCCATGGTGCCCAGTGACAAAGGCAAAAGACATGGCAAAATCTGAAAATTTGGCGAGGGCACAGCAAGACAGCCTCTACCAATGTGCTTCTTCCCCACGGGAGTAGAAACATAAGATCCTCCTTCCAAGTGCGTGGAATCACAGTGAATGACCTGAAGCTTTTTGCTCACCAAAATGGCATTGCCAAAGGATTCGTAGCCAGGGTTTGCGTGAGCAAAAAAGTACTCCATCTCTTCCAAATCCTCCGCTAGAGCTTCCAACGTATCCTCCCGTTGATTGCCTTCGGGATCCTCAAGCTTCATCCTTTTGACTTCATTCAAGCACACGATATCAGCCTTAAGTTCGCTCAAATCCGTCCGCAACTGTCCATACACCCTGGTGACTTGTTCTGGATCAATGTCCTTGAAGCCTGCACCAAAGCCGCAAACATTGTAAGAAACCACGCGAACTTGATTGTCGTGACCAAATATTGCCTCTGATAAAGTGTCCCTGATTCCTTTCCTTGCCAGACCAGATGGCACTGCGGATGTCGAAAATGTATCTTTAACGCCCCAAGTCTTGGAGTCTTTGGTGGTCAACATGAGGACGAGGAGGCCACACCAAGCCCACTCAATTGAGATTTGACCCGCCATGAAGCGACAAACCCATTTTGAGCCACAATCTCAGCCAGAAGCACAAAGCACAAAGCCTAGCGCTTGACTGTTCAATAGAAGGAGAGGACTTTTCTTGCTACTTGCATCAAAGTGCACAACATGGCTAGTGCTCAAGCAACAACTTCAGAGCAAATCAAATTCAAGTTAGGTCTACGTACAACAAACCCAAGTCAGATTAAAAGTCTGCCTGGACACTGCAAGTCTGGATACCGCAAAAAAATGCACAGGCTAGAGTCAACTCTAGCCACAGCAGAAAGCTTCACGATGCCTGCATCCCCTCGAAAAAGGTCCATGCCATAACACAAACAACGAAGAGTCCGAGTTAACAGCAGGATGTGAGCCATTCCCTTTTTTAAACGTGCATCCAATCTCCCAGCAGGACCATGCTCTAGCTGCCTTTGCCAGACAGCCTGATCAAGTCCTGAGCCAGACAGAATCTCAAATTGAATCACCAAATGTTCTTTGCACCTAATAGCGATGGCCTCCACCCTAAGAGCGATCGCCTCCGCGATGGCCTCCACCCTAGTAGTTTTTGATGTGATGGTTTCAAGTTAATAGCAAATGTTCAATCTTTGGTCCTTTGAAGGCGGGTGGCACTTGATCCTGCAAGCAAACTTCAGGTCCAGCGAAGGAAGATCCAACTGATTTGAAACCTTCAAGCTGGTGCCACATGAAGTCATGTAGAATCGCTACTAGGAGCAAAGGGCATCGCTACTAGGGGCAAGGACGCTACGAACGGGGCTCCTGGCCTTACTACTAGGAGCAAGGACGCTACTAGGAGCTTTCATGAAGTCATGTAGAATCAACAGTCGCAAACGCCAGACTTTTGGGCTCTGAGAGATTGCTGGGTCAGAGAAGCAGCGAAGCAACAAACCGCATCGAACAAGTCTTCGTACTTAATGAGGTTGCTGAGTTTTGGTTTGGTGAACACCAATAGTATTTGATTCATAGGACACATGGTACATGTGTTCACCAACTTCACAAAGGCCATGGGAGGGCCATGCTTCGCGCAGGCATCCAACTCAGCGTGACGCCTCGGCAAAGGTTTGTGAAGAATATTTCGAATTCCGTCAGTTTTCTGTTTTCATGCATCTGCACTGCATTTGTTGGTCTCCCTGCTGAACAAGACCCTGTATGTCCTATCGAAGGAGACAAACAACTGCCAAAATCGACACTTGGCTTGGCAGCTCCATGACTCAAACTCAGATCTGCACAAGTTGGGCAAGTTTCGGCCAGCGCATGGCACACCTACAAGCGATGGCCAACCTAGAACCAATGGCTTCCAACCCACTAGAAGCGTTGGCCAAACCTAAGAGCGATGGCCTCCAACCTACTAGCGATGGCCTCCACCCCAGTAGTGATGGCCTCCACCCCAAGAGCGATGGCCTCCAACCTAATAGCGATGGCTCCTAACCTACTAGCGATGGCCCTCAACCTACTAG